AGTGTTTCATTCTGCTGTGCATAAGGTTGCTATGGATCGGTACTAACAACAACAACAACAACAGCAACATTCTGAATTCTAAATGAAAGTCTATTTCCTTTATTTTGGGGAGTTAATTCTTGAATAAGTGATATGTTCACATGGTTACATTTTTGTTGTTAGTGGTGGTCAAGTCAATCCTTGACTCATGGTGGTCCATTATGATCCTTGGAGTTTTCATTGGCTGCTTTTTCGTAAGTAGATTGACAGACCTTCCTTCTTCGCCTGGTTTAATCTGGAAGCTCTGCTGAAACTTGATCAGCATCATGTTTTTATTTAGTGCTGTCAAGTCATATAGACTTATAGTGACGTTTTGTAGGATTTCTGAGAAGAGGCTGGTGGGTTTGAACTGCCAACTTGCTGTTCAAATCAACCTTGTGGTCTAGTGATTATCTTACAGCACCGTGCCAGGACTTTATTCAGCATCATAACAACATGAAAATCTCCACTGATGGAGAGATGGTATCTGTACTTGAGGTCCATTGGCTTGACAGTGGACCAGGTTTTCCACATGGAAAATAAGAATTAAAACACTGAACCACCACTGCCTTTTTCAAGGATGCTATTGTGCATTAGTCAGACTATTCTGACTCATAGCTACACTACAGTACAGAATAGAACTCTTGCATAAGGTTTATTAGATTGTACTCTTTATGGGAATAACCAGGTCTTTTCTACCAGGGTGTGGGTGGGTGGATTTGAATCACCAACCTTTCAATTAACAGCTGAGGGCATAACCGTTATATCCCCTCACATTGGGGTCAAATTTTTTATTTTTGTTAATTAGCTCATTGAAAACTGCCATCTTAGTTTTTTGAGTCCTGGTGTGGCACTATGGAATAAGCACCAGACTGCTAACCATAATATTCCCTGCTAACCTCCAGCTGCTCCTTGGAAACTCTACACAGGGTCGCTATGAATTGAAGCTGACTCTGCAGTATTTAACAACAACAACAGTGTAGTTTTAATTAGTATTTTTATTATTGTTTCTTTTATTAAGTTTTAACATGAAGTTTAGCATTTTTAATATATTCATTTAAATGTATTTTTCTAAGACTTGTCCATTCATATAATTGCTATTTTTATTATTGACTAATTTGTAGTAAAGGAGCTCTGGTAGTGTAGTGGTTACGAATTGGGCTGCTAACCTCAAGGTCGGCAGTTTGAAACTACCAGCCATTCCATGGGAGAAAGATGAGGCTTTCTGCTCCTGTAAAGATTTACAGCCTTGAAAACCCTGTACAGAGTCACTATGAGTAGTTTTTTAAAAGATAAGGAAACTATTCTTTGTGATATCGATTGCAAATATTTCTTCTTACTTTGCTATTTACCTTGTGACTTTTCTTCTGGTGACTTTTGACTTGTAGATTTAAAAATATACATGCTGCTATTGTTAGGTGCCATTGAGTCAGTACTGACTCATAGT